GCTAGTTTAGATAAAATAATTTTAATTTCTATACGTGTATGTAGGTAACGTTTCACTCATATACATATCTGCGATATAAAAGCAAGTTAAGAATTGTTACACGACAAAACACGAGAGCTTTTTAAGCTATCGATCGCCATTTTAAATGCAGCTTCTCTGTACTTTATTAGGATTTGTCCATGTCATTCAAGTGCATCAATTATAATTTATCAATAGAATAATATAATATGACACGATGTCTTTTAAATTTGTGAACTTTTGTAGGCGTGAAAAATGCAATTAAGAAGTTGTACTATTTATTAAGATTTATCAACAACTTATTCCATTTTAAATTAACCCTAAGAAATATAATCTTTTCTATATATGAATACACATTTATGCACAAAAATAGCTCTAGGACATAAACGTATCGAAATTACCTTTATTGATGCAATATTGTGTAGTTATAACTCTCATACTTATTATAGAAAACCGAAACTTCGTAAGTACATAACTACCTAAAGTTGAGATAATATATAAAAAAAAAATTGTTTCATTTAAAAAAAAATATTAAAAATTATCGCCTTTGAAATATTACCGACCGTTTATCGCGAATACCGTTCGACATTGCTATTTGCGAGTACACAGAGAAAAATATACTGAAACATCTTTACAATAAATCTCTCGTTGAAATTGTGCATGAATCTGTATATCAGTAACTGAACTACAAATTAAAACAAAAAGTATATTTATGTCAAGGGCGAAACATATTTATAACATTTTCACATTTTTTATTCATACCGCCTCTGAGTATATGAATGAATTTCCAAAATATGTTCCGTTTCCAAGGAGTAAAAACGAAAAGCTTATTACTTAGACTCCGCTGTCTGTCTGTCACCATGCTTAATTTCACAAAAAATAGCTCTAGGACATAAACGTACCTACCTTACAGATGATATAGATGATAGTAAAAAATGTTAGATTAGAATTATTATTATATTTATCGTGTAAGACCCTAAAAGAACAGATGTATAAACTAGTAATTACTTATTTTAAAGAGCTCGACGTTCGGTCTACGTTAGGGAAGTTAAACATTTTTTAATTTGTGGTCACTTATCCTATAACAAGGACCAGTTACAGGATAGGTGACCACAAATTATCTCTTAACAAATCCATGATCGGAAGGCACGTCAAGTCGTTGCTATCGACTACATTTGCAGTTGTCACCATGCCTGTGCTGCAGCAGTGTGCAGCTGGTAGTATTAGTATTATACTTAGGGAAATATATACATTTGTCTGCTAGTTCGATTATCTTTCCGTGATCATTATGACTATAATACAGCTCAAAGCAAACGTATTTTGGGACTTATGTCACGTAGTACTAAATAAATCAGGAAAACTACTAGTTTATTATATTTGTACAAAGCACTGGTTAGCAGTTTGCTTGAATATCACAGCATGGTACTGGGCTCGTTTTCTCAATGTAAATATTGAAAATATGAGGAATAATTACCATAGAGATACCATAGAGAACATACAATTTAGGTAGATATTAATTTTCCATATGATGTCTTTGGAAACCTGCCGCGAAAATTTCAACATTGTTTGCCTATTTAAGTTGGTTAATTCTATTATAGACTCTCCGTACTTGCTTTCCGTAGTTTAATATTTGACTTAGGTCTTGTAATCCGAAGCCTTTTGTTCTCCAAGCTTACACAAATAACACATCCTTCTATAACCCGATCGTCAGAATGTGTCGCACATTCAACCGTATACTCTTCTAGTGTGATTGTCTAGATATTTACCATCTGAACTTGCAAAAGTTCAAAAGAATATCACTGGAAAATATTAGCTTTTAATAAAGTCATCATCTTTTGTCGTTGAGGCAAGTTATGATTCAAAAAAATGTAATATAAATTAATTTCCATTGCTGTTTTTTGGATTTTATTTAATAATATCAATTTTAATTACCAAATTTAGATCAGTTTTTAATGTGTTTCGATTTATTATTATTGTTTTATGTCTATTTTACTCTTTACTATACATAATTTCTTTCTAAATTATAATATAAATATATATTTTATAAAAGGTTATATATATATTTATAAAATAATCAAGAAATGGAAAGGGTAAAATAAAAGGTTAATTATGTGTTCATAATATTATTATTAGGGTCCTATTTCTATTTCTGTAATTTATGTGCCAATAAATAAGTATATCTATAAGTGTAATTAATTATTGGATAACACATTCGAACATCTACGAATGTTACACCCGTATCTATAGTCGAGAAAAGTAATTAATTACTTGAGAAAATATCCTTATATAATATTTTATAAATAGACGAGAATTTAAAGAATTTAGAATTGTTAATAGCTAATATTGACAGTATTGTAACTATATACAAATATTGCTTTATTCTAATTCTTGTTAATTTAGTAAAAATATCTGCTTAAATAATGACATATTCTCATGTTATTACTTCTCTTGAATAACGATACGAGTGTTAGAGTAGGTAGGCTTAAGTTCGACTTCATTCATTAGATGTAGTCACATGCGTTAGATGCCCCTGCCTGTTACAGTTCTATTTTGAATCACGTTAATGTGCCATGGGGTCGATGTAAGTGTTCTAATCACTTAAATAATTAATGACTTTTTTCATTAGTCTCTAAATAGCAATGGTCATCGGAGTGTTAATATAAGATTTCATAGATAAAAGATTGATAAAATTTAAATCATATTTTTTAAGTTTTATTTGAAATAATAATCAATAATCGATGTGATAATACCTCACGACTTATATTTTTTACGAAATGAACTATTTTATGTGATTAATTTCACGTAGTTTACTTTATTTTTTATATCTGAAATTTCATTTTGAATAGCTAATAAAGCTTTGTAGAAATACATATTGAAAATATATAGTTACATTAGTTATATTGTATTGTATTGTATTGTATTGTACTTCTTATTAAAAACCCATGACTACAATTGACAATTGACTAATTGACGATATGATATAGAATACTAAAATTTTGTTTTATATGTTAATATGTATATACGAGTATTCGTACATAGATTATATGTTCAGAAACAGTTAACAGCTATCCAAAAAAGATGAAAAAACATTATTTAATGCTTCAGTTATAAGATACAGGATTTTGTATTATTAAAATTTACGTTCTATAATCCCATTACCCCAAAACGGCACGCAATATGACGTGACGATAATTTAGTCGATTAGAAAAAATCGTCATGTCAACACAAACTCGATACTTTCTCGAATATAACGTTACAGGTTAGGATTGAGTAATTTCGCCGTATCCTGCGACACATCTGTTGCAGGAACTAAACAAAAAATCAATGTATCCGCCAACAGATTCAAATTTAGAATACAGACTAGAAACTTTTTGGTGTTGCATAACAAACCTTTTTAGAAAGTTTGCAAGTTTTTGCATATGGACAGTGCGGTCAAAGAGTATTTAACCACGTAATACCATTTTAGTGCAGTAAGATATTCGGAAACGGAGAGATTAATGACTAAGTATGTATTATTAGTTTCAAATGCATATATAATTTTGTAAATGAATTGATTAAATTATATATAAGATGTATGTATTTTAAATGAAATTAATTATAGAAGTAAAATAAGGTATTTACAGCACGGAAATACTGTAATAAAGTTATGGTAAATTATATCATTTTCATTAAGAGATTGAGCTCTACATTTAGTTTATCGTTAATACGTTTTGTAATAAGAGTGTCAGAAAGTTCCTTTGAAAAAGTTTAGATTGGATTTATTGTGGTTTTGAATACACAAAATATGATTAAATAATGACGTCATTTCTATCCTTAGTAACTTCTAGAATGCAGCTTGTTAAAAATTTATAAAAGATACTTTTTAACTATTGGAAATTTATCTGCTACTTGGTACTTTCTTGGTATTTTTACATTTTATTGAATTCAATTTATGCTGATATTAGTTTAATTCTATATTAATTAGTCAAATTTTACTCTGCTCATACTTTATATTATATTTGATGTCTAACGTAATATATTCTAAAAGATTAAAGAAATAATACATTTATATTCTCACAGCGTATTTATATAATATTGTCCTTTAGAGAAATTGTATTTCATTTTAAAGAAAAATATATTTATTCAATACTAAATACAGTAAAAACTATATTATTGGTATTAACTATGACCTAATTAGTTTGACGAACTACCAAGATAACAACCGAAAGGTTCTCATTTTAGTTTCCCTACATTTTCCACGCCGTCTAGCGGTGAGTAGCACGCCGACGTTTTCCCACCCTCCTGTCTGTCACCCACCATCCCTCTCAAAACACCCACACATCCCTACATACGAACGAGATAACCGTATATCGGTCATTATAGCTACGCTTTCCACTCATGAAAACGGACTACCCTTTAGTCGTCTCTATTTTCTCTACATGTAAGAGACGATTAGAGTGGGACAGATGTATTATGGAAATTACAGTAGATGGACACCCGATGACCACGAAGTTTCTTAAGGGTTTTTTTCAGCCTATGAGAGAGTATTTGGACAAGGGTTTTGTTTATGCCTCTTTGGGGTTGCACATCGTGTTAAGTGCAATCTTTTTTCTTTCAGAGATCACTTTTTAAATGATTTTTTAAAGCAAAAAAACAAAGCACAAACATGCATTTAACCTCGCTTCACCGATTTCTTTTTAATAAAGAATCAGTTCCAAATATAAAAAAATAAAAAGATATAAAACAAAAAATGAACAATCAATCGAATTCCGAATTCAATAATCGAACGCAAACTCCGGTGAAACAATTATGAAAAAGTTCTCTCCCCAGTTAAGTCTCGGCCGGGACTGACACTCATAAAACTTATTAAAGTCAAGGACCGGCGGAGATAAGTTCCTCTCGGCTTCTTAAGTAAAATAACGTCGGGAAAAAATGCGCTCTCAAAGTTTTCAGTGAAAGTGAAATATCTAGTCGTTTTCTTAACGATTACTACGTGTTGCGTTTCACGATGCGAACCTGTTTAGTTTTTGGCATTAGTGTTTTTACTTCTTTTTAGTATTATTCATGTAGAAAAAATATATCGATTTACAAAAAATATAATTTTAATATAATAAAATTGTTATTTTTACATTTTCATAAAAATAATATGCTTTTAAAATTATCACTTAATCAGTCAATGTGATGTTATTGTAAACGAATATACGTAACCTTCACCTAATTTTTATAAGAACGTTCATCGTTCATCCATAATTTAAAAACACATTAACTCAATGTAACAATTTTCTACGCTACGAAAGTGCATAACGCTACGCGATCGTAGTTCATGCTACGAGACGTCGCAAAGTTAAGAATGATACTTTTTACACATCTTTACTAGCGTAAAAAAATGACTTTCTGAAAAAGATTTTTGAAATATCTAAGAAACTTTTTTCATAGAACCTTAGAAATTAGGAGCAAAACTAAAACTGTCATACATATTTACATAACAAACCATTATTTCAATTTGTGAAAAAATATTCATAAACTCAGGTATCTCATTTTAATAACAGATCCCGTGAAACGTTAACTGACCGCGCTTTAGATCCATTCAATTAAAAATTCCATCTCCTAATCGAGTCATGAAATATGCAAGCAAATATTATCCCTTTTCTTTTGTACGCGCTGCATATTCGCCCCACCCGCGCACGCACACCGACGCACGGCACTTATGATTTATGACCGTCCCTGTCGCACGTAGGCGGTGGATGCTGGGAGAAGCGTGGTGCGATCTCTGTCGATCTGCCGAAGCGGCAGCGACCGCGAGTAACCCCTGGCCACTTCGTGTGGACTCGCACGCGCCGTCGTCGGCCGGCCGAGTGAGACAGACACAGTTTGTGGACATGCGGAGGCCGCGGAGCCCTCGCGCGAAGGGACACAGGCAGGACAGACGCTCTCGGACATCGGGCGAGAGCGGGCGGCCGGCGCACCTGCCTCGCACCGACCACGCGCGCGATCTTACCGATACATCGTAAACACAAAAACATTTTCGAACTGCTAATAAAATTTCCTCGTCATCATCGCAAAGAAAATAAAAGTTATAAATTCATTTTAAGACAATAAAACGGTTATTTTTCGAAACGGACAGTGCTTTGATTTTATTTTTAAAACAGACTGAAAAGTGAACAAGTTTTGATGGGACATATTGGAATTATACGGAGTGATTAATTTTTTAGCCCAATTTGAAGATCGCCAATTGGTGTGGATTGATTAGATAGGGCTCTGAGACGCATGTTCGAGTGTTGATAAGGCCCTATGACCAGAAAAAAATATTAATGAAGAATTATGTGAATAATGAATTAATCGGAGACATCATGAAAAGGAAAAAGTAAATTGGAAATTTATTCAATTTTAAGTTAACCACGATGAAAAAATTACGGAGATGACTAAAAATGTTGGAACATTTGCCGTCGGATAATGTGATGACTCTTAAACTGTTATCAAAAGACGTTTTAAGCATCCGATAAGGTCGCTGGACCGTCGGGCGGTCCGTGTGAAGTGAACTAAAAACTGTCGCCTGATAGTAAAATATTAAGATAAACATTTCTCAGGATAAAGAAGTTGTTCAAGATCTAAAAATAGGTGACCAAATCAAGATGAGAATCAAGATGCCAGCTGTACGCATCGCGCAAGGTTAGTTGATTTTTTTATTAAAAATAAAATAGCACTTTGTTTAATTATACCTGAATCAGTTATAATAACCATAAAACTTTTTTTATGAAAATTTTAAAACCTTATATTTCAAAATATCTTTTAAATACTACGAATATTTAAGAAATATTTTCTATAGTTAATTTATGAATCTATAGTCAATTTTCCAAGAATATTAATAGACTATGATTTTGTTTTTTTTATATAAAAGCAATTTTGTGAATTCGAATTGCGAATAATATCCTCAATCACTTACATAATGGTCATAAGATATCAAAATAAAGTTTCGAAGATATTTTCGCAAACTCACTTGCCCACTGCACTACATCTCATTTGGTATGCCGAGACTTTCCAAGTAGTGGAACGAGCTACTTAATGCCCGGCCGTGACGGCAAACATTTACACAAGCCTGGACATCCTAACCGAAAGGGATGAGATTCTAAAGAGACCCTAACTAGCCCCATTCAAATATTCATGACTCTGTCAGCTGATTGCAGTGTCGCTACTAACATGAAATCTGACCAAGTAGATGATAACGCAAAAAATGTACCTAAAACATTACAAGTTAATCACGAAGGCACTTAAAATGTTAATATTAATAACAAAATGACCAATACCGAAGCAGCTATTGCTGATTGAATTACAAAAACGTGAACTATTGTCATCAGTGATTATTTAATTGCACGAACTAACAATGTTAACAATGGCAACTGACCAACATTGGTCAGATTGGTCATTTCAAATATTCTAAGAAAATTAAAATGTTACAACGTTGAAAGATAGACAAGGTTTATTACTTAATTAACTGCAACGGTTTTGTAATATCACGTCATAAACGCAACATTGTCACAGTATTCAATTAAGGAGACATTATAATTTTCTCGTAGATTAAAATAAATCCTTCAGTTATAAAAGATTTCAATTCAAGGCTACTATATTATTACAATCCCTATCTTATGGTGTCAAAGATTAGATTTTACATAAAAAAAAGTCTGTAAGCATTTCTTGACAGCATGTGTTTCCTGTTTTTGCTAATTTTAATTATATTCAAGAAGGTATTCGATAAATTGGCTACACGAGACGAGATACTACTTTTTTATTTCTTTTTCATGCTTTTAACCATTGTTAGTTGGCTTCAATTCCCACTGGCCAAGAGTTATTTAAATTAATTACTCATTATAATCTAAGAGCAATGTTAAAAGATTCTCATGCTTTACTATACTAAGTAGAATGGTCAAAATTATGATTTGCAGATTTATATGGACTGTTTGCTTGAGAAAGTATTTTTATTGTTATAATTAAAAAGTCACTTTCAAAGTTCTTTTGGGCAACATCCTGTTCCGTTTCTGTTATCTAAATTTATAGCTAATAAGACATAAGATTTATATTCGAAATGGTTTTAATTTTGAATTCGGAAAAAATACGAAAATCACATACGGTCATATGTATGTGTGTGAGTCAACTCACGCGCACGGTTTCTTCTTAAAACTAGCATTGTAGCACACATGGGCAATTAGTCCAAGTTGACCGGAGGCGACGGGCCACTGCGATTGGTCGGTGGCACGGTGACGTCACGAACGTCTGGGGCCGTTGCGCCCGATTGGTCGACACGCGTCATTTCATCGATGACACGTTTGTTCTTATTTTGTACGCAAGAAGTTCGAGGCACTCGGTTTTTGTCGGCGACACAATACGACCCCCTTTGTACATGAAACTTGATGCCTTTATGTGGTTGCCGTTGAATAAATATAAGTATAAAAGGCCATAATTATAACACTAAAACTAACGCATAAAACCATTTCGTAAAATATATCAAGCATTAATAAAGTAGTCAAACGTCCAATAACGGGTCGTTTGAAATTAAATATGTACGCTCACACAAACTTACTAATGCGACCCCAATTACGTTTTAAAGGCAGAAAAACCTTTTGACTTTTTAAACCCTCCTCAAAAGTGAGAATTAGGGAATCGTTAAATTACTTTATCAGGTGCGAGGCGAGACTGCGGCGGGAGTAACTTTTCAACAAACTTTTAAAAATCTAAGTTAACTTCCCTCTGTGCCGATGCCGGTGCGAACCTAAATAAAACATCAGCGGACGTGACGTTCGCTCTGTTCGGAAATGTTTGTCACTAATTGATATGGGTTCGCGTGTCCTTAGATTTTTAATGGATCACGTAACAATTATGTTAACACATTCTGATCGTTGTTTTTACCCTTTTCAGTCAGTCCCTTTTTAATTGTTTGATGTTTATTTGATATGCCTTCCGAATTAGTACGTTAGATTTTTATTGTCATTAATAAAGTTAATTCTGCATGGTAAGCATTCTACGATATATAAAAACAAGCGGATGCTGCATAAAAGAGCCGCAGGTCTGTTTAAACATTGGCTATGTCTTCTTGTCCTTTACCGCGTAGCGATTCAATATGTCTTCATTAAGTGAATATCGAAGCATCGCATTTACAACCGGAACCTTCGATCTTGATCCTTGGCCAAGAATTATTGCTGCAACGTCGATCGAGATGGTTTCTTATGGTCTCATTGGTCGGTTTTAGCTTCACATTATTGTTAATTAAATTATTGTCCATATGTGATATTAAATTAATATTAGTTTTTAATAAGAGATAAACAAAATATCAGATAAGAATAAAAAAGGTTATGCTTTTCTCTCACTAAAAATGGTAAACACATTATAATAGAGCTGGTGAGAACTATAAAAATAGGTTAATAGGTCTATAAGCTCTTCGTTTTATTGCAAGAAATTAATCAAATCAAAGGCAGAATATATTCTCACAATTGAGAAACTCATCTAATCAAAACCTAATAAAGCACGCTATTTGATCACCTAATATAATAGCACGCACCGCATAATTATTTATCACTTTACGCAATTATGACCGTGGGAATTAGACAAGGAATCTATTTACTGGGACTACTTTAATCGAAATGAAAATACTTAATAAAATTAGTCAGTATAAATAAATTTCACGATTGACATCCCTAAACAAAATAAGAAGAGAAAGAGAATATGATAATTTATCACATATCTGTATCGACAGTTGATATTTAAATTATGGGAATAAAGCTAATTTTCGTATTTAGAATAACGTTTTGGCGGACCGCGGCCACCCGTTTGTAGCCGTGCTGGACCGGATAAACTTTTCTTTTTACGTCGTCGGTCGTTCCGATCGGCATTTTGTAGTTGTGATTCTTAAGATAAAGATGTATGAATTTACATATGTTATGTCAGTAGTGGTCCGGGGAACATTTAAATTGGATTTATTAGTCCGGTCCTATTAAGAAGTACAAAGCGACGTTGGAGGCACCGTTGTATACGAAGCAAATTAATGCCAAAAACGAAAGCGATTGAAACATCGACGTATGGGACGATAAATATTCTCTTTAAATTTCTCTGAATTCAAAGTGATCTTCGAAGCTGCAGAAAAAATAAACCAAACAATCCTTCCTCTAACAAAAGGATTACATATAACCAACAATGCAAATCGTATTACAAACAATGAAAACAGTAGCAAACATTTGACGTTTTTTCTTTCAAACATAATCTTGAACTGTTAGATGAGTTGCAATGATAATTTAACAGTTCGTATTAGCTTATCTTGTATTGGTAATCTCATTGTCCGTTTTGGAGAGTACTGATCGTGATATGTGATTGAATTCAGTTGTCTGTGCTTAATTTAAATCATCTTAAGTATTCAATTAGAATGATTCCATGTTATTAGTAGCTTCTATACAAATCATTTTGTTCAAATGTTTATTCAAAAAGCTTTTGACCAATGTCCGATCATTAAGGTCCATTAGTAATCCTGGAAAAATAAATATCCTCCTTTAGTACAATGGGATAAAAAACGTTCATAACAAGAATTAATTTATTGCTTGCAGACCACGATCAATAGCCAAGGAGTGGGAGGACAGTTTCTGAAGAGTCCATCTTTGTCAGGCTTTGATACCAATTTGTTATTGTCGGCCTTTCAACGCTAAAGACGATTTAAGTTCGAAAGATGTAGCCTTGGCTTTCTTAAGAATTGAGATCTCAATAACTTAAAGTACTATTAAAAAATAAAATTTAATGCAGCAACACCTTAAGATATGAATAATAAAAATGTTATCGATAAAACTGATCTATCGAAAATCACACACAACAGGTTGACAATGGTCCCGATTTCGATAGAGGCACCTGAATCTATAATATTTTCCCATGGTCAAACTTCGATAAACACCTTGACAAAAAACCATTCCAGCCTGCATTTGACAAACAATTGGTCAAAAGGATTTTTTTTGGGCCAAACAGAATCAGAAGTCCGCACCCACATGAGTAGAATTGCCGATAATATTACAACAATGCCATTGGGGTACGCATCCGAATTCTTCTGTAGGCAAAATAAGTATTGTGTATCATTTTTCGATATCCTTTCATCAATTTTAACAGAAAAGGGTTTACAAGTGTCGCTTTCTTGTATTATATTTCTTTTTACATTAAATTATGCTTCTATGATAAAAGAGAATTTTAAATCTCGAGATATTAAATTATGAGACAGGTTTTATTTACGAATTTATTAATTGCTAACGTTTGATTATATTACATATGTTTGATTGAAGGGAAAATTGCTACGTGTCAAGTCTACCTGAGCATTAAATCGGCTATTCAGTTGAAAAATGTTTGATGTTTCTTGCATGACCATTGTCCAAAGGCTTTTGATTCGCCGTGAGTTCTTTTAAATTTTTTGAATTAATTTTTTCCTTTACTTTTTTTGGTCGACATAAGGCATACATGTCAAGTCGAACAACGCTGCCTTAATAGATCGCATTGTAATCGCTTGCCCACATTCATTTTAGGGATTTATAAAGAAACCTCTTTTGTTTAGAAGAAACCTTCATCATAGAAAGAGACGGCATCTAAATTTTGAGTGAGTTCGAAACTTTAATACCATTTTAGGTCACTTTTGCAATAGTTCTTTTGTTTCG